GGCCCCCAGGAAAGGTGGTGGGAGGGCGCAGGGCTGGGCTCCTGCCCCGCCAGAGACTGTGGCCGCCCACGTCCCTCCCTGCCTGGGAGGACATAGGACGCAGGGGTGCCCCAGGGGGCCTGGGGCAGCGTGACACGGGCAGAGGGGGCCCCCTGACCGGTGAAGCCCCCGTAGCTGATGTGGTGTGGCCTGGGTGTGGGTGGCAGGGACACCGCAGGCCCCACAGCCTGACCCTTCGGGACACGTCGCCCCCTAACCTCCAACCCCCCAAGAAGCAGGTTCTGCGGCCCCGGGCCTGTCACCCCCACTGGGGACCCCCCAAGCCCATGGCACTGCCCACCCCTGCTGCCCCCCAGGCCTGCCCGCTGCCTGCGTCCAGGCTGGGCCCCGTCCCCGCTGGCCAGGAGGCGTGTGCAGCTGTGGCTGGGCACTCTGGGGGGCGCTGCGTGCTGTGGGGGGCGCTGGGGGTGGAGCGGCTCCCGGCAGCTGTGGCCCAGCTGCAGCCATCTGGGGCGGGCTGTGGGGCCCTCGGGGAGGGCGGGTCCGTGTCTCAGGGCCGCTTTACTCAGAGCGGAGCCAGATTCGGAGGGAACTGGGGAGCCCCCGGAGACCCGGCCGCCAGGGGAGCAGTCGCTGCCCATGGTCCCCCAAGGCCTGACTCGGGCCTGCAGCAGGAATGTGTCCACAGGCTCGGGGTGCGGCGTCAAGCGTGCTGCTCCCCCCCTCAGGCTCCCCGCACCCGCCTCCCCCCGTCCTGGGGCGCAGTCTCTCCCCCCAGGCAAACAGGATGGGGGCTTTGAACAGATAATGGGGCACAGTCGAGCCCTTGGGCAGGTGGGGAGCCCATACTGTTACCGAACGGGCCTGAGGCCACGTGGGGTCTCAAAGCCAGGGACCACCCCGGTCTGCAGAGCCCACTTGAGGGGTGTGGCCCACGCCTGGCCCCCAGACACTAGGGAATCGCCTTCTCTGGCGCAGGTGCCGCCCCCTAGCTGGTCCCCTGGGCCGGAGGCCCCCACTACCTGCTCTGGGTGGGCTGGGGGTCCCCCCAAGCAGGGATGAGGGCCAAGAACCCGTGCTCCCGCGGTGCAAGGGTGCCTGTCCTGGCCGCGGGCGCGCCCCGGCTCCTGGTGTGGCCAGGCCCGCGCCAGGGCTGTGCTGTGACGGCTGCGGTGGGCCGAGGCCGGACCCCCGTGCCTGGCGTCGCCCGGGCCCGGCCACCCGTGCCGGCGGTCACCCACTCCCGGCAGTCAGCGCTGGGGCGGGGCGGACAGCCCCTCCAGAGGCGGGAGGAGGGCGGTGCCCGGGCCGGGATCGCGGGGTCAGGTTGTCCCCGGGCTGGGGCCGGTCAGTCCCGCACCCCCCCCACAGGATTCAGCCACGCTGCGGGCGGCCAGGGCCGGAAGGCCGGGCAGGCCGGACAGCAGGACCCCAGCACCCGCTGTGCGGGGCTCACAGGCGAGGCTGGCGCGCCCCCTGCTGGCCGTCCCGGGCACCGCCGGCCCAGGTCCGCGGCGGAATGCGGGGGGAGGGGGCCACCCCAGCTGCGCCTCCGCTGGCTCCTGGGCCTCGTGGCCCCCGTGGCCCCCGGGTCACCCCAGGCAGCTGGTCCGCAGGGCACCGAGGCAGAGTTCAGGAGCCCTCGTGTCCCCGGGTCCCGCCTCGGCTTCCCATCACTGGACTGCAGGGCCGGGGCGGCGCAGACACGACCAGAGCCAGTGGGCAGCCAGTGGGCAGCCAGTGGGCAGCGCACGTTTATTGGACTCACGGCCGGCGCGGGCCGGCACCCAGGCCGCGGGGTGCGGCAGGGCCAGCATTCACCACCTCTGCCTGGGTGAGGCCGAGACCCCCTCCTGCTCCAGGCGGGCGGGGAGGAAACCGACTGCTGCGGGCACGGGGAG